GCTGAACCAGGGAGTGTGTGTAAGCTGGAAACAGAACACCAACCAAAACATTTATATTTTTAATTATGATATCAGCCAAATAACTGCTGTATCCATCAGGGTCAAAATGTTCAGGAACTTGTGGGGCAGAGCTTACAGTGTTGAAGGTCACAGATTGATTAAGCCGACTAGTGATTTCTACAGCATTTTTTTAAAACCTATTTTGGGGGAAACTCACCTGTATTTAACAAGTATTACACTGTTAACACTACATGCTAAAAACCCATCTGTTATTATTGTCTTCTATGAGGTAATCCTAAAATACCTTTACCAGTTGAACTGTGCTTGCTACAAACCAGTGTGCGCTCGCAACTGAACAAATCCAGTGTACAGCAGGAGTGCTGTGCCACAGGCTCATAAACAGTGAAAGATGACAACGTCTACACACTGTAGCTTCTTTTGGAGTGTTCCCTTGTTGGCAAGATATAATATTAAGAGCTTGTTGAAAGGTGCAAAGAGACACCCGCTGCTGTAATTTTGGCCCGACCATTACTCACAAATTGTTTCAGAATGGCTTGTCACCACCCGTCAGTGATTTGGGTAAAAAGACATCCTGAGCTAATAACTTGCCCTGAAGCCCCAAGACAGAGCATATCAGTCTTGTATTCTGGTATCATATGTGAGTGGGAGATTGTTGAGCAGAAGTAGCCCGAGGCTAGTCTAATATTAGAAATGCTTCAGGAATGAACATGTAGAGCCAACTGCCCATGACGCTCTTGACAGAGTTAATGTTGTCAGTAGGTCCCAACCCCTCTGCTGCCTCCTTAATCTCCAACAATTTTACCAGGAAACAATAAGAACTAATAGAGTCAATCTTATTACTGAAACCCAAACAAGAGAGATGAGATACCACTGCAGAGAAGTACTACATAGTTGCTCCTGGTATACGAGCCGTGTGAACATGGAGGTATGTCTGGTGATTTAATAAAACCAAGTATGGAAAACAGCCAAGTACATCAGCATGTTTTAAATCCCCCTCGCCCTCCACTCTCCTCCACCCCATTTTCTTTTCACAATATTTTGTGTGGGATAGGCTCCATCTGGTTAAAATGTTTCCCTGTGAGGGAGTAACCGCAGTCTGTGCCCTGCTGTGGAAAATATATGATTCTATCCAGCCGAGTTTGCATGTCATTAGTCCCTTTAATACCACAGGATCTGCTGAGAAGTGTTTTCTTTTTCACATGGAGAGAGAGAGAGACAGTGGAACCCACTGAAAAACAGTGTTCAGTTCATTTTTACAACATTCAAAGCAAAGTGGATATGAGTCTTGGGTGAATATGGCCAGCTGCATGATAATCGAGGCTGCTAGTCTATAAGATGGTTCACACTCGAAAAGCTATTTAAGCAGACTTCAGGGGTAAAACATCCATCAGTCCAGTAGCTATTACACACCTGGTGGTGGCAAAAATAACTACCGGTACCTATTAGTTGGATTTCACAATTAAAAAAAAACTCAGCAACACGAACAAAACAAAAGTGAAGCTTGAGTTGGGATCATCTGGCTACGTTGCACAAATAGTTTAGTTATGGCCAACAATATCAATGTGTCATATGAAATTTAAATGGACATACTTATACTTGGGGAAACAATTGCTCTACCCACTGAGCCACAGTCGCCCCCAGAAAGCTTTAGAAAACTGCCACGAGAGTCAAAATGCATCAGGAATCTTTTAGTAGCTCAGCTACAACACCAAGAATCAAAGCAGAATGAAATCATGAGGTAGCTTAGCAATTTCCAGCCACAGACTGAGTGAAGAAGGGGGATTTCTGAATCACTTCACACCGGCTACAACCAGATGGCCCTATGAGTCCTGACAACTTTCTCAAGCACCTAATGAGGAACAGAGTCTTGGAAGAAAAGGAAGACAGGGGAATTCATAAGGAAATGCTATTTACCCTCAAGGTCTTGGGATTAAGGACTGTAATGACTCAGCCCTCCACACCCACACACATGTATACGCACATCCATTCAGTATGTGACACTGGCCTCCACTCCCCCTTATCTTGCCCTGTTTGTGCAAAGTTGTACAATGTCCTATGGTTGAGGACAGTATACGCTGCTGATGAGTTTGTAGCACCAGGCCCTGGAAAATCCCAGAGTTTCCACATTCTCACTGGTTGCTGCTTTGGCTTACTTTCATGAAACACATTCCAACCTCGAACAACAGAGCAACAGCAGGCCATCTCCATCTTTCCACACTTCATTACTATTCAAAATCATGTTTGCAGATATCAAGTGGACTAGCATTAAGAGAACACAAGCTAAAAGCCACCACTGTTCTTGAAAAACAAAGTCTCCTGTCTCATATCGATGTGAAAAGACAATGTCAGGTTCTCCATAGTGAAAACTAAAAATAATTGAAGGAAACACTCAATTTCAAGAGTGAACATAAAAACAGGGAGAAGACCAGTGGTAGACTTATACTAGCGGTGGTGTACTGTAGTGCGAGTGTACAATTTAGATCCACACCAAATTAACAGAGTGGATGTAACAGACAAGGGCCAAACGGGGTGAATTCTTTGTACAGACACTAAGTTCAAGTCCAGGTTTTCTTTTTGAACATGGGTTTCTTGCCTTTGGGAAATCATTCAACTCACAGCTACATTAAACACAATTAAAGATGCGTTTGATTAACAACACAGTTTCAATCATTTCATTATTATGCTAATAACTCAGGCTTAGTCTACAGGTAACCTAGCAAATGAGAGACCAGCACAACTAATTTAAGGTAGAAAGCAATGTAGCAAAGTAGTATAGCACTGCAAAGAGAAAGTCTTCTTGGCAGTAATAATTAACCATTTCCAAAAAGTAACAATTATGAGTCATTTTCTACATTTTACACCATTAGAAGTACTGCCTAATTAGACACAGAACCTAATTAGGATTGTATACAGGGTGTAAATTCACCACCCAACACCAACCATCAGTAAAATCTCTGGCTTCCTCCTAAATTATTGACTTGTCCCTTTTATTAGCCCTAACAAAACAATCAGAAGACTGGTTAGTGAATTTCTGGATTTGCAGGAGACAGTGGCACATCAGTACAAAACTAATTCTGTGTGATTTTAGGCTGGAAATCAAAGTGCAAAATGATCTAGTCACAGTTATTTTGAAGTGAATATCTTCAGCCAGCCATACAGCCTCTCTTCCTCTTGATCCACAGCGTATTAACTGCTCAGCATCACACACCTGTCCCTCATAGCCTGCTGCTATGGCAACCAATCATATTTTTTTTTTCCCCAGACAGAGTGCAGCCAGATTTTCAGCTTCCATCCTTCCTTTCATTTTATGTGAATCCATTACTGCAACAAAGCAAGATGCAGTTATGCACCGACACGCTCCTGTAAACAAACCACACTTAATTTGGCTTAATCAGCTTCTGCTGTTGGCACAGTCAAAACCTTAGACGCAAAGAAGACAAAACAACAACAACAACAAAAAAACAGCTGCTGACTTCACACTCTGTTAGAAAGACTCGTGCCTTTCACAGCTTCCGATTCACAATCACGAATGTTCCAGACAAAACCAAACACACACACACACACACACACTCTGTAAAATGGCTCGTTTCCGCCTTTCAGTGAATGAATGGGGTTGTGATGCAAGCTCTGACATGTCACACAAAGAGCCAAAAGAGTGCTATTAAATAGTGTAAAGGGTAACACCAGTACACACTTCTGCTGTACATGACAGCAGCCTTAAGGCCAAGTCTTATTTTAAGGTTTCAAATGTACACGTGTACATTGTATGAGAGGCCACAAAATATGGCACAATAAACAAACATCCCATGGAGCGTTAAAGCTACAATATGTAACTGAAGGTAGTACTAGCATGAAACTCCAAATCAATCCACTCTGCTCCACCTAGTGCTTCCTCTCCCTGCTCCACTACGCTCTGCTCAGCTCTTCAGATATTTGCCGCTATGAAATTACAAGAGATGAGAATGCAATAAAACCTACTGATCATGCAGAAATAATTAAAAATCTCTAAATGATTAGAGAGACTGATCCTGCTCAAAATGTTTTGGAAGCCAATATCTCCGCAGAGTTGTTCAGTGAGTCTCAGTTAGGAGGATTCAACAGCACCTCTCCACATTAAGGCCAGTTCTGAAACATTTCTACAACAAAGATATTTGAGAAAAGTTACATACTGAAGCTTTAAGTGGGAGTGCCTGTACAGGAAAACATGAAGCCTCTAAAAAGCAGACTCTTTGTACTACTGTAACATTCAAGCTGTTTGCTCTATAAATGGTGTGGACTCTGAATACAATTTACCAGTTATCAAAATAGCTGCAGAAATGTTTGACAGGCTAATCCAAAAGTCAACTAATTATTTCAGCTCCAAGACCTGTATCACCAATATCCACTGTCACCATTAAACGACTCAATTCCTCTGTGAAAGTGAAGTTTTTTTTTTCCCCACAGCGTCTGGGCCCTTCTTTTAGCTGGTCCTGATGCAGGCCCTGCCAGGATCAGCTTCACAGGTATGAAGTCTGCACACATACCCTTACACGCTTTATTTACCTGGAGCAATGAGGGGCTGAGCGCTGACAGCTGTGACACTGCGGCTCATGTTTATAGCTCGGACTTCTGTGACTGCTGTAGCATCCCCCTTCTTCCCTCCTTCAGAGGGGCTGTCGGAGGAGCTGGCCTTCCCCCCTGTGGTGGGCTGGGTCCCCTGGCTGGGATTCTTGATCAGTGAGGCAGATTGTATGGGCACAGGGCTCTGCTTCAGACTGAGAGCCTGCAGGGTCTGAGTCTGTGAGGAGGATGATGTCGCCCCCTGCTGGCCACGAATGGCCAAATTCTGGACCTGATTCTTAGGGGAGACAGAAAGATGGACATTACAGACAAAAACAAATTCAGTGTGTCAGACAAATTTTTTATTTTTAAACACATAAATGTGTTTACTGCAGAACTAATAAAGATGTACTATACTTTTCTGCATTACCTTGTGCCTTCAATGGCCAGCCAATTAACTACATTAGAATTTTATCATTTATGTCACAGCAATCTACAGAAGTTCTTATTTTGTGATTCATTATCTTCCACACGTGAAAAGATTTCTATTGATATTCACATCCTCTAGTTTATAATTTCTAGTGAATGCAAGAACACTCTCTAAACTTCTCCATGTCATGCTCATATCTGCATGTACAGTATAGAGGGGTCCAGATCAGACCAGGACATTGGGGTCTGACAGATGTTAATGTGATATTAATAAATGTCATCAATAAAATGTCATTTAGTAAAAATGCCTGAGTCTACCTGTGAGGAGGCCTGTGTGAGCTCTCTGACTGGACAGCCGTTACTGTGGCTGTTGGAGTGAAGATGAGCTGAGGGGACAGAGGAACAGCCCGGCCCAGGCTCCTGGCCACCTGCACTAAGTTACTCTGCTGGGCCTGAAAAGCAACACACAAAAGACAAGAAAGAAGAATAAACGAGTGAGAAAGCACCTCATTATTGGCTACTTAACTGTAATTTGCTTCACACATTGGAAAAAGAATCCAGAGCACAAAAATCTATCAAAAATTTACTGGAAACTAAACATACTTGCACTGCTTGGAAGCTATAATTGGTTTATGTGTAAAAACAAGCAATTAAAAAAAATAAATAAATGAAAGTCTCTGTAGGGCTTTTTATATAAATCCTATGCACCAATTTAGCACCAGTGGACTATACCAGAAATAAAAGGCATTGCACTCTAAACTGACAAATGTGTTTTGTTGATTGCCAGAAGGACCACACACACACACACACACACACACACACACACACACACACATCTGTGTACATGGCCATAATGCGTTGGCAGGAACAGTCCGTTTGCCAGCTGCAAAATAAAACCAAACAAATTACCTACAACCAGCAAAGCAAAGTAGGCCAGTACATTCTTTACATTCTTTCAGCCACTCTTTAAAAAGAGCTGGATCTTCAGTTACAGTCTAGTGAACACCACATTCAACACATTCCCTTCAGTGCCTGCAATAAGTCCTTTGGGGCCCAACAGGTTTTTCCTGACCACCTACTCTGGTGACAAGTTGAGAATAGAGCACTCTAATTACTACAGTAAGGTACGCATGTATACATAACACACACACACACACACACACACCCGAGCCTCTAGATGATAAAAAAAAAACAAAAAAAAAACATCTGAGCTGGAATGTGTTTACTTATTCAAGCAGTACGTGTGTGTGTGTGTGTGTGTGTGTGTGGACGTGTTTTTCCTGCTACGTGGGGACTTCTTCCTGACTCCATACCAACTCATGAGGACCCATTTCACGGTGGGGACCTAAATTGAGGTCCCCATGGGCAAGAAATTGAATTTTAGGGTGGCAACATGGTTTAGGGTTAGGATGAGGTTAGGGTTAGGTTAAGGTTAGGGTCAGGGTTAGGGTTAGGCAAGTAGTGGTTCTGGTTAAGGTTAGGGTTAGTCTACAGGAAATGCATGTAAGTCAATGTAAAGTCCCCATGGACTACGAAACATAAACT